TGTTGAGGGGTTTTACCACTCGCTTGGCAAATTAACAAGAGGTACTGAGACTCTGTAATTTTCTTCTTTATTCTCTCTCTTGTTCCACTGCTTATTTCTACTACTTATTTCTACTACTTATTTCTACTACTTTCAGCAAGGAGTGCTCCAGTATTAAATACAAAAATCACAGACATGTTTGGGTTAGCTAACCGTGGGAACTTCCAAAACAGGATGTTCAGTGTGGGTAAAACTCAAGGTCAGTTTTACCAACTCAAACATGACCACCTAGCAAACTAGTTATCTTCAACCATAACAAGGGATTAAAATGTCTAGCACGGTAAGTGCTGAGCCAAGTTCAAGCACACACTAAAAATAAATGATCAAAACTATAGATTCATCAAAATAGCACGTAGGGGCGAAAAGGCGAGACTTAATAAAACAAAAGGTAAACCTAAAAATGCTTGAAATATCGAGCCTTGAAAACGCTCTACAACAGTACTTTTACCACTTTCATGCTAAAGCCGTAACAATTTAGTTTGAATCTAACTCTACGTAGATTATTAGCTGCAGAATTTTTAGATCGATTGACATTGATAAGCAGTTACTCTTACCAAGAGCCAAATAATCACGCCAGATATCCCTGACAGCAATATGATACAAGCCAGTATTGGCCATTGTGACGTAATGGAGGTCAATAACTGTTCCCGTGATTCTGCTTCGCACTGCTTTAAGTTCACGATCATTGAACACCCGGATGATACGAATGCCCGGATGAGTGTCACACTTTTTAGACCCGTAAGTTTTTGCCTTGCATCCGATAGAATTGGAAATCCAAAATCAACCGAGTTATTTTTAATCAACTTCACCATCTCATCTTGAGTTTGAACAAATACTGGCTCCATTATGCAAGCAATGGGATCGCTTGCTTCTCTGCCAAAGCAAGCCATGTCCACAAACCATGTTAGGGTAGTATTCATAAATCCTCCCTGAGTAGTTTGGTTCATTATGTAAGGAGGAAAATCTAGGAGGGCGATTTTGTATCTGCATGTGGTTTCTTGTTGACCCGTTTGACGGACTCGACGATGTTGCCTGATTTCACGGGCTTTGCGCGCTAACTCCGATTGAACTATTGAATCAATTTGGGGTTTTTCGCTGCTGGCTGGCCATACATCGGAGCAAACCAAAAGGCAGAGGACTAATCTCAGAGTTGCAACATGCATCGTAAACGCCGCCAAGATATGATTTGGTAAAAAAACCTGCCCTGAAGCCACCAGACTTGAAGTTATTATCAGATCTGGAACGAAAAAAGATGCGAACAGTCAGAATAGTATGTTATCTGCTAAGTTTTTAAGCTCGTTTGTTTTATACTGCACGCGCACAATGCGAGACAGGATCTCAATGGGATTTCAATTAAACTTTCCATCTTTTTTCTATGACACAAAAAGTCCTAGAGTACTCATTAAGGTAGCGATCTGCACCCCTGCTAATAGTCAGTCACATTTATTTTGCGTTTTTTT